TCACTTCATTTCACCGCGGTTGAAAGAGTTCTGATTTATGCTGCCATCGGATCAGAAATCTGTCTCCACTATACAGTTTTCTAAATTAAAGGGCATGCACCATTCCCTTATCCAACTAGTATAATTTTACGCTCTATTTGAAATTAAAAGTACAAAAGCAAAGGGATACTAGGACAGAACATCAGCCCAGACCCATGTGCATCCTGTGATAAAAATAACTTTGCTATCTTAATAAAGACAAGTATTTAACAATTCAAAAAATTAAGAACGTCTGTGCAACCCTCAGTTGCTTTCTAGCATAGGAATTTTGATGAATTTCCAGTTATATGGGTGGAGAATGGATGAACAGCCCTGACGAGAAGGACTTGGGAGTGCTGGTTGATGAGAAGCTCAAGTTGCGCCGGCAACGTGCACTGGCAGCCCAGAAAGCCAACCGTGTCCTGGGCTGCATCCAAAGCAGTGTGGGCAGCAGGTTGAGGGAGGGGATTCTGCCCCTCTGCTCTGCTGAGACCCCCCCTGGAATACTGCATTCAGCTCTGGAGTCCCCAACCTCAGAAGGACATGGAGATGTTGATGCGGGTCCAGAGGAGGCCACGAAGATGATGCAAGGGCTGGAGCACCTCTGCTATGAGGACAGGCTGAGAGTTGGGGTTGTTCAGCCTGGAGAAGAGACGGCTGTGGGGAGACCTTCCAGCAGCCTTCCAGCACCTAAAGGGGCTACAAGAAAGCTGGAGAGGGACTTTTGACAAGGGTGTGTAGTGATACAACAAGGGGCAATGGCTTTAAACTGAAAGAGGGGAGATTTAGATTAGATATTGAGAAGAAATTCTTCACTCTGAGGGTGCCAAGGCACTGGAGCAGGTTGCCCAGAGAAGCTGTGGATGCCCCATCCCTGGAAGTGTTCAAGGCCAGGTTGGATGGGGCTTTGGGCAACCTGGTGTAGTGGAGGGTGTCCCTGCCCATGGCAGGGGGGTTGGAACTAGATGATCTTTGAGTTCCCTTCCAACCCAAACCGTTCTATGATTATATACATGAGCCCATACTGTGTCCTCCCAAGGATCCCATCCTCACTCAGTGCTAACAAACCTGTTATTTCTTTCTCTCTTCACCTCCCACCACATTGCCCCACAGTGTCACTGTAGCACATAAATGCCTTAAAACAAGCACAGACAGCCCTTACTGTAAATGTGTCCTGTACGAGTATTTTCACTTGTCCTTTACAAAAGGTAAGCAAATTTCGTTCATATATATTCGCTAGCTTGGGGTCTTACTTTGAGCCAAATAGACTCAGTTTCATCTCGTTCCTCAACCTAGACACTAAGATCATTATTCCTGGTTCCCTACAGCTGATGCCTCCAGAGAGCAGTATGCGCCACACAGTAGCTGTCGTTGCTCACACTGGAAACATACAATTCTGTTTGTTTTCTCCTCACAACACATTTCTAAGAAGCTGGTGTTTGTTTATCTTCTGAAGCATCGGCCCACAAATCACATCAATATGCAGTTAAACCCAAAGTACCTTTAAATTCTGGTGTGAGGGTACTTCAGGAAACGACACTTGTCCATGTTCACATACGTACAGATAAAAGCATGTATACATGTTTAATTCATCGCTTCCTTTCCCAAATTTTCATCACCCCTAATCCGTGAGCCCCCAAGCCCCTGTAGAAACAGCATGTATGCTCTACTGCTGGATAATCCCATCCTCAGGTACGCTCTACTGCTGGATAATCCCATCCTCAGGGTCAGCTGTACTGCTACTAGTGAGGTGTAGGCCTAATTTAACTTTTACATACGTACTCTTTAGTATCAGTGACAGAAACAGAAGCAACCAGTGTCCCAGGGCCATATGACATCATGGCTGAGATGTGCTTATATCCTAAATTTATTACACTTCACTATCACAACAAAGTGTTCAGCCACAGGTGCTGGAAGAGGAGAAGAAGTGCTCAGACTCTCCTTCACTGAGCCAACTGGTCTGGCAGTTCAAGACATCCCCACCTGCCCAGCTGTTTCATTAGTGCTCCTCTACCAGATACTAACATCTGCACAGCAGAAAGTCAGCCAAGGAAATATGAATGTAAGCCTCAGACATTCCAGAAGAGGATGCCTCAGCACATATTTCTACCAGCAGTTTAACCTACTAAGCTGCATTCTGGAGTGGCTGGGGCACAAGAACATCCTTTCTCCATCAAGATGTCCAGCACTAGCTGGTCAAAGGCTTAAGAGTGAAGGACAAGGAAATTTCATTATCATAGAATCACAGAATGGTTTGGGTTGGAAGGGAACTCAAAGATCATCTAGTTCCAACATTCCACTGGACACATTCCACTACACCAGGTTGCTCAAAACCTCATCCAACCTGGCCTTGAACACTTCCAGGGATGGGGCAGCCACAGCTCCTCTGGGCGACCTGGTCCAGTGCCTTGGCACCCTCAGAGTGAAGAATTTCTTCCTTAGATCCAATCTAAATCTCCCCTCTTTCAGCCTAAAGCCATTGCCCCTTGTCCTACCACCACACGCCCTTGTCAAAAGCCCCTCTCCAGCTTTCATTAGGGACAAATCACACCACTAAACACTGACCTGGCAGTCACAGAACATGAGTACTATGCCTGGCTCCACCACTGACCCACACACAAACTTGAGCAGGGCACTCGACTCTCTCTGCCTCCCTCTCCTTTCCCGAGCTTTGCCTGGATACATGCCAAGCAGTCTTGGAAGGAACTGTCCCTGACTAGGTTTGTATAAGGCACAACAGGACTGCTCCAGGTGACTGCAATTAAAGTAAGAGTCAGATCTATTCCAGAGTCCTGATCTTCTACACCAGCAGTTCACAAACCAGTCACTATGAGAGGTACAGTGCTACAGATCATTTAAACGATATGACCCCAGATTACATACATTTTTAGCCTAGTTTTTGTACCAGTCGTTTTCTTCTCCTAATACTCTGTCATCTTTGGAGTCATTCCGCAGAATCTGTGGTTCTTCTTTTCATGCACAATCAGATCCACTTAGAGAAACTGATGCTCTCAGCAACACATTAACCAAATTCTAAACAAACCATTCACTGTATTTACAGCTACTCACTACAGCTATTCTGCATCATCAAGGAAGGCAAAAAGATTACAATATTTACTGCAATGAATCATCATCCTGCTCCCAATCAAAACCACACTTGTATACAAAATTCCTGATCTGATTCTCTTTCTGCTTCCAGCTGACTATGCTATTCAAGCCAACAACTGCCACCATACATTAACTCTTAAGACCTTACTGTACCAGCATCTGAGATTCTCAGAGTAGTGGAAAAAAAAAAAGTCCTGAATATACCCTGCAAAAGCACAGCATCAAATTCAACTAATTCTAGTGGTAAGTACCCACAATCAGATTAGGAAGGTATTCTGGATAATATATTGCGTTATAAGCCCTGACTTTTAAAATCCAATTACTGCTGTTCCTAACAAATAACCAACCCCATTATTCCAGCTCTGGTAGGACAACTCAGCCAGGAAAGAGCTGCAATGCTGTAACCGAAGCGCAATCTTAAGATCCAGAGGAAAAAAAATGTTTTAATTCTTAATGCCTGTCCTTAAACCACTGAGACTTATAACACAGTTTATTGCCTGCTGCTAGAGTTCTCCAAAAGGCCACGTTTTATGTTTTTTTGGTTAGTTAAAGGGCAAGAAGATAAGTCAGGTTAGAACCTCAGAGTTTGTATTGCAAACTGTTGTCTCTCATCTCTGAGTTCTTACTAAGTCTTAAGAGAAAGCTTAAGCATATGGACGCCTAGAACAGCTCAAAAACTGAAAACACTGGTCAGTTTTGGAGATGCACTTCTCAGAGGGGACAAACAGGCCTCCTCTGTTTTATCAGGACATTTATCACATCATTGTGTATAAATTGATACTGCTTGTTACGTAGAAATACTGGATAATTCGATGTGTGCACATGGGAGGGCACAGGAACAGAAAACTCTTGTTACTTATCGCGCTTAACCCAGGTGAGTCTCCAGCAGAGTTCTTCAACCCTTCTATTATTAATTAAACCCGTGCTTTGTGTCTGTTACCCATTACACATGTTAACATGTTACACAGCTTGGATAGCCAGGGAATAAGAGCATTAGCAGCAGTTGTTAGCTGGGACAGAAGCAGCTCCCTGCAGGGATCTCACTGCCTCACGGCAGAATGAGGCAGGATTCAGCAGAGTCCTAGAGCAACCCAGCAAAATGGGCCCCACCGTTTCCTTCTGCTCACCAAAATCCGGGAGCCCCCACCCCACTTCTTCCCTGCTGCTGGTTTTGTGGTGCGGTCCCAGCACAGAAACTGTTCTTGAACTGTTGGATGAGTGTGGTTCAAAGTTAGTCACACACATGTTTAGGGATACTGGTTTATTCTACAGCTTGCCAGACAGAGGACATCCTTGACTGATCAGTGCCAGTGTGGCAAGACCACACCATCAGCTGAACAAACACTTAATGGTGAAATCCACAGCCCCTGAAGTTAACAGATTACCACCAGGACTGACAACTCTCCACTGCAGCAAAATTAAGAATGATGATTCCAGGCTTTGTTAACCATGGTTGCGAAGTTACCTGTGAACTGTGAAAGCTAAATCCATCTAGAGGAAGGGTGCATGAGAGCAAAACCAGCAGCCTTCAGTTCAAAGCATGGTCCTTCTTTAAACATGCTCCATGATCCCTCTGTTTTGCCCTCAAGACTCTGTGCAAGGGCTTTTTTGTATACATTAATCGGAACCGTGCTTCCTTGTCTTTTTTCCATACACCATGAGTAGGTACCAGCAGGATTTTAGGTTAGGTAGGGGGATTTTTTTGTTCTGTTTTGCTAAGCTTGACTGCTTTGATCCTGATTAAATGCTAATATATCCTAACCACTTAAAAGTTGCAAAATAATACCACAGAATTAGCATTTAGTAAATATTACTATAACACTTGTGACCTCAAAAAAAAATAATTCTAAAACGTTCCAATATCAATACTTTACCAGAACACCTACTGTTTTGTAAAGCTGTGCTTTCAGGCGGTACGAGTTGTATTCCATTTTTCTCTTCTCTTCCTCTCGCTTCTTCTGCACCTCTGGCAGCTGCTCATAGATCCTTAAGTGAAAACACAAAAAGGCAAAAATAGTGACTCGGGAGGAAGGAACTTACTGATATTAAAAAAAAAAATCCTCCATTTTATCTTCACATTCTGTCAAAGGCTACTGGCCAGCTACATCACAGAGACATTTATTTGGGGGTTTACTAGTGTCACACAGGGAAAATGTGAAATACATAGCAGTATTTCACATTCCGGTATGCATACCGGAAGTTCCCACATCTCATAATGCCTTTCTCTTACAAGCAGCACCTCCTAAACAGAATATTTATAACACTAAAATGACCATACAGCTGATATGATTACCCAGCTGCAAAGGGCAGAGCTTTAATATCTTCAGTACAGAATAGCCCCATTGCTGCTCTGTATTGGCTACGCTGATTCCCAGTACCATGTTTATCCCTCAATAGTAGTATCCTTATCACAAGAACAACCCGATTTAAGCTATTTAGTCTTTTCTTTTTTTCCAAAATTTCCGTATTTTCAACATTCAACAACGTTGCCCTGTTTAGATGAATGCTTTGCCTTCTCCAGCGCTGAACTTCTCCCATTCCAGAGCCAGTGCACTATTGCAGTCTAGTTTACACACTACTGTCTAAAGGAGGGACCTGAGAGCTGGGAGGGCAGTGTACTGCTCACACCACCTTCCCCAAATCTTTCTTTAAGATCATAAAGCTTTACTAATTTCATGACAGTGGCTGCCGAGAAATACACAGCTTCAAAACCACTGCTGTTTACAAGAGGTGGAAATGAATGATGTTCAGAAATTTCAGTCCTGTAATATTTACACAGCAAAGCAAATCCTACAACTCCTTTCTTAACATGCTGATTTGATAACCAGTAAATAGAAAAAAAACACCTACGTTTGTAACAGATACAACACTGCATTATACTCTTTTAGAGACTGTTTTGTTCTTTATGTCAGGATAATATCTCTGCATAATTACTGTTGGCACTTCAAATATTTTTAAACGTATCTCTGGCCAATTGGTATTATCTGAAAGTACATCGACACATTCCATTTTGAACGTTGTAAATCAGTACAGCCCATCAGCCAGGAGAGGCATCTTTGACAGTTGTCTTGGTACTAATCCCAGCAGAAAACAAAGTCATAAGAAGCTGCATGATAACGCAGAACTAAGGCAGAATCAAGAAAGCAAAGATCAAATCCAAATCTCAATTAGTACGGAATTTTATCTCCCGTCTAAATCACCAGCTAGGGAGAGCCATACACATTTGTAGCTTCTACAGCCCCCCACACAAATGTGTTTACCAGTCGAAGCTTCACAATGGAATTGTTGAGCAAGTAAATACACACCCAGCACCAAAAAAAGGAAAAAAAGAAAAAAAAAAAGGTTCAACTGCACTCCCAGTGACCTACCTTCCTGTGTATCCCTATTTTCCTACTGTGTCTGCAGCTGTTTTTAGGAGGTTATCTTTTCCAAAAACATCACTACCCACATTACAGCTACAGAAAAGAGGAAATAAATCACATTTTGATGTTTATTTTACTTCTCTTATGCTTAGCTGGCAGGCAGCAGAGGGTGCTAGGTCCATCTATACATCACTGGATGGGAGCAGGGAGACCACCAAGATTTGGAGGTCTGCTTTCCTACCATCTCACCATTCTCTGAAGGCTTTCGCCATCCTAGGGCTCTCCTCAACAAGGGACCACAATCCACCTCTCACAAACCATCCCACCATAAAGATGTTTAGAACAAGAAGTGGGCAATACATAATTGTAGGTAAATTAATTGAAAATTGTTTTCATTACCTCTAGTTAATTTGCCATGAGAAATTCTGTGTTTATCCTCGGAGGAAAAGAAAAAGCTTCTGCCCTCATTATAGGTGTGGATTTCAAAAGAATGGTACAGAATAAATTACTTCTCAGCTCCAACTGAGTGCTGGGGCATGACAGCAGCAAGAACAAAATAGACACCAAGTGTGACTGCCTGAATCGGACTCCACAGAAATCCTGCTAACTTCAGTTATTATGAAATCAGAACTTCTGAAAATATGAGTTCAGATACATCGATCTCACAGTCCGAGCGACCCAAACTCGAATCCTACTTCAGCTAAAACATGTGTAGGTACATTCCTTGGGGAACTGGCATATTTACCATATTCACCACTTCTGCCCTGAAAAGACTTTAAAATGCCAAAGACTATTGAAATAAAATATTGGTTTTGGACTTTCCCAACATATATATCAAGGGGTTTATTTTATCTATTGCATATTCCAGCAGGTATTTTGTGAAATCACAGAGTGACTGTGACTCCGGAGGTCACCTCATCCAGCCCCCTCTCAAAGCAGGACTAACTTCAAGGCTAGATCGGGTTGCTCAGGCCTCCTCCTGTCACCTTGTGACTACTCCTAAGGATGAAGATTCGACCACCTTTGTGGGTCCTGGTCCAGCACTTCATCATCCTCTTCATGAAAAACTGGTTTCCTTGTCTCCAGTTAGAATTCCTCCTTGCTGTAACACATCATCACTGCCGCTTGTCCTGTCACTGTGCACCTCCAAGAAGAGGCTTCCTCTGCCTTCTCTAAACCTTCCTTCTGGCAGAGACGCACCACTGCCAGACCCTCACCTTCAGCCTCCCCCTCCCCAGGCCCAACCAGCCCAGCCTCCCCTCCACAGCTGTGTTGGTGGCCTCCACCAGACTCAGGCTACTTTGTTGACCCCTCTTTTGTCCTGGCAGTCCAGAATGGGAGACAGGATCCAGCTGTGGCCCCCTGAGTGCCAAGCAGAGGAATATCCACTTCCCTCCCCCTGCACGAAACGCAGCGTGGAGCTGGCCTTCATCCCTGCAAGAGCATACTGCCAACTCACGTTCAATCTGCTGTCCATCAGCTGTCAGGTCTCCAAGGCCCTTTCCAGAAGGACCTCTCCATGGGCAGTCTGTCCTCAGACACTGCCAAGGGGGATGTCCTTGGGGGAGTTTCTGTCCCAAGGAGACACTTGGCATTTACGATTGTTGAACTTCGTAAGATTCCTCTTGGCCTCTTTCTCCAGCCTGCACAGATCTCTAGAAACTGCAGACCTACTCTCCAGCATGCTGACTGGTCCTCCCAGTTCAGTGTCACCTACAAAGCTGCCGAGGTGCGCTCCATCCCACTGCTACTACCGATGAAGTTGAGTCTCTAATTTCCTTCTAAGTATTTATGCTGTTTCTCAACTAGTACTCTTCCAAACCACCTCTTCTTGAGCACAACACCATTTCAGAATACAGCTGTGATATACCCAATTTTTTACTTATATCTTCTCATGCTCTCTCTGTAGCACAGGCATTCCAAATATTTAATATCTTGTTAGTGTGCTGTGCACTTCACATATGAATGGCTTGGGTCAAAAATAAGGCAAACTCTCTCATAAGGTGGTTTTCTTCAAGGGTAAAAGCCTTCATATTCCTTTGAGGACACATATTTCTTACACAAAGCGACTTTCATTTGGTGAAATGATACTTCACTTCCTGCATCACTTACCTAGTTTGTTCATGTTTAAAACTATACAGATGCTCCAGTGGCCCACACCCTACATTTCCCCTTCTTTCCAGCTCCAGTACTCACACAGTTTGTTGTAGTGCCTGCGTGGCAGATACTGCCACAGAATACTCAAAAATCATCTTTCCAAAATGATCTTCTTTCTCAGATATTATAAATAAGTGCTTTCTCCTTCTGATAAGGTGTCCACATCTTGCGCTGAAAAAGCTGAGTCATCCTCCACACTCAGTTCTTTGACTACAGATACAATTCATCCATTTTTCCTACCCATTTACTCAGGTCACTTATCTGAAACAAAGTTTTCTTAATCTTACCGTTTAGATCTTTGAATCATTTCACTCTTTGGAATTGTTCTTCTCTTTTCTCTAATCAGAAAACCTAAACGGAAAATTTTGAGATGACAGAACGGTGAACAAGTCTACTCTCACAAAGAATATTACTGCAACAACCTGACTCCGTTATAAGTTACGGATTCTTATAGACAATGAAGTTAAATAATTGTAATACTTTTATGGAAAATACACACACCTTTAAGTATAATATGGAAATTCATTTATTACTATAGAACGTACAAAGCAGAACCATGAAGGTACCTCTGTCGGACAGCATGTGACTTGCATTCCTGGAGCCCTTTCTCTTCTCTGGAGGATTAAACAGCTCTCCTTGTTTGGCCTGCAGTACGCTCTGTATCCTCCTTTCCTCCATTACAAGCTTCAGATGTTTCACACGCTCCCCAGAGCGGGAGATGAAATCAGGGCGATGCACTGCAAGAGCCTCCTAAGATGAGATGACACAAAACAAAGTCTACAGTGACCAGACTGCCTCCCTACAGCTGGAAGGGAATAACCAAAATATCTAACACCACTACAAAAACCATGGGGAAAAAAAAAAAATCCCATCAAAGTAGTATTTGGTATAACATACAAAATCTTGTATCCTTAATGCCAGATAGATCCTCAGACCTTGTTGAAAAAACTATTTGTCAACAACCAGGAAACTAATCAGCCAGAAAGGGGAAAAAAAAAAATTTATACAGTAATTAGCAAAAGAGACACAAAACTCTTCTCAAAAAAGCACAGTAAAGTTAAAGTTGAGCCCAAAGGACAGAAGATTCTGTAACTTATTACAGTCTCCCTTGCTATAAATCAGTGGGAACGTCAACATCAGCAATTCGTTTTGGATCAGGAGTAGAATTTTGAAAGCAATCTCCTGGTATCTCTGTTTGCCACACTTCAATCTCCATCACAGGGCCATCTCTGAGCACACGAACAGATGCAACTGAACTTAAAGAAACTTCAGAAGTGCACCTTAATTAGCACTTCCTAATTTACATTTCACTTGCTGTGCACCATCTCTTTCCAAAACATTTCTGTACACTACCTCTGTGTTTTTCCACAGATATTTAGAGTGAGTGCACCCGATGTGAAATGCACACTGTATATGCACGTGTGTGTATGTACACACACAGTTTGCACTGAATGAATTGAAGTCCATTTTAGTCACGTATTATGTACATCACAGTACTATTTCTGCATGGAAGCAAGTAGGACTTGACACTAAATCATAGAATCATCTGGTTGGAAGAGACCCTCAAGTTCATCGAGTCCAACCATTCACCTTGCACTGTCAGCGTCCCTAAACCATGTTCCTCAACACCAAATCTACGTGGTTTTTAAACACCTCCAGGGATGGCGACTCCACCACCTCCCTGGGCAGCCTGTTCCAATACTTCACAACCCTCTCTGTAAAGAAATTTTTCCTGATATCTAACCTAAATTTCCCCTGGTGTAATTTGAGGCCATTCCCTCTCATCCTGTCATTCATAATGTGGGAGAAGAGACCGACCCCCATCTCCCTACAACTTCCTTTCAGGTAATTGTAGAGAGCGATAAGGTCCCCCCTGAGCCTCCTCTTCTCCAGACTAAACAGTCCCAGCTCCCTCAGCCCCTCTTCACAGGACAAGTTCTCTAAACCCTTCACTAGTTTGGTTACTGTTCTCTGAACCCATTCCAGCACCTCAACATCCTTTTTGAAGTGAGGGGCTTCAGTCACATTCCCTCTAGTTCCTGATGCCAAATGATTTAAGCCCTAAAATATGAGGTCATTTCAAATATATTAGTATATTGTGGAAAGCCAGATCACTATAACCAAACAGGACTGACAAATTCATTGGTTTTCTTGGTTTTGTTGGGGTTTTTTGATTGTTTGTTGGGGTTTTTTTTGTTTGGTTTTGTTGTTTGTTTTCTCAAGCAGAAGCAGTCTGTAACATGTTGACTTCCACTGATTATAAAGGCGAAATAACAAAACAAAAAAAAGGAACAAGATGTGTTTCCACAAGATTCAGCATTACTCCTGAAATCCTACTGAGATCCCAGCAGCCTTTACCTGTAGCGTAAGCTTCACAAACGGCGGCAAGGACCTGTTCTCAGCATCTCTTCCTGGAACAGCTGGCTGAACGATGTTGCTGTACTGGTGCTCTTGCCAGTTCTTCTCTCGGAGAGGCTCTCTCCAAGGTTTTGTGCTGGTCAACGGTTCAAACCAAGACAGACCAGGACCAGAAAAGCAATTGGAATAGTTTTCTTTTCTAGATTCAGATTTCAAGTCTTCTGCTTGGACGAACCATGAAATCCCTGTTAAAAGACCAGAGAGGAGAATAAGAATTTGTAGGCACTCACGCCCAAGGTCTTAGCTAAACACAGTCAAGTGGCCTAACACTGCAGTGAATAGTCACTTCAGCTTAGTGACAGTGGGACTCAGTATCAGACACTTTTGGCGCTTTCAAAAGAATTTCTTTGCCAAGTGTCAGAAAACCAGCAAGTCTTTATCAAACAACACTTTGGAAAAGGCACAAAATGTCTTAGTTCACAAGTTTTTCCCTTTATAGAAAGAACAGTTATTTATCAGCAATTACACATTTTTAAGGAGCCTCTGTGCTGTTTTAAGTCCTACAGCTTTTTAGAGATATTTTTGAAGATCAAATGCTTTACATCTTCCAAATGTTAAACATGCATACAAGAATTAGATTACTCACAGTTTACATATATAATGGGATTTGAATACATCAGCTAGTACTCTGAGCAGATATTCTAAATTTTCCAAATTAAACTAGTGTGAGAGAGAATGATTTGTCCCTGCAACAACAACGATGATGACTAAGGAAAATATTTTTAAACATTTAATCATGACATTGTGAAGAGTAACAGTAAATTTTCTTTTTCAAAAAAAAAAAAAGCCCGGAGGCTACACCATCAGCCCAAAAATGCAACTCTAGCTAAAAGAGACAGATGAGTCAAGTTCTTCTGGTACCATGATCTTCCCTCAAGTACTCCTGAAAAAATACTTGTTCTTTGAAGCCTCAGTACATAAAACAGCAAGTACAACTTACAGTGACCAGTTACTCAGAGCTTAACAAAACCTTTTATACCTCGAAAAAGAAAATTAAGTATCTACATGATTCCCATCTCATTCATCTTTCCTTGCCTTATTCATCACTTCCTATCTACTGCCTTTACAGGCCAGGTTGCATCTAACGGTGTGATTGAAAGCGCCATCATAATAGAGCACTAGAGAGTTCACTTGACATAGTGTTTTTGTTTAAAATTCATTGATTAAAAACAGAGTAAGAACTGACTGTACTAGTGACAGACTACTCTGTGTCCTAGCTAATCCTCCTCACATATTTTGCTAGTTGTTGAGATGTACAGCTTTTCTGGTCTACAGAGAACGTGTATTTTGGGACTGACCTTGTGGTAAATGCAGCCTGCTCCTTTTCGTCCTTTTCTCCACGAAAAAATTGCCAGGCTGTCCCTTCTGCTTACCCTTGCTTCCTGCTGCCTGATGATCTGTGACCGTACCATCTGACTCTCCAAAAATATCATCAACACAGTGCCAGGGTTCCTGCGGCCGTTGATTTGGCTGGTTGGATCTTGGGGTAGGAAAAGTCACACCAACATCTCGAGTGTTTTTCTTAGTTGCGCTGTTCACAATCTCCAAGTCTCCTGTAGTTGAAAATGAAGCAGCAACATCTTATTCCAGAGCAGCTGGAAGTAATTCAACATCAGCACGCGTGTCACGCATAGTTCAGGGGGTGACCCTCAATTTCTACTGTAAAGCTGAAGGATCACTTTCTTTACTCCACCTTCAAAAGGCAAAATCTTTCATATTCCCACTTCCAGTTCAAGGAGAGTTGACAGTGACTCAGGATTGTTACTATACGATAATCTGAGTAAAATTAAAGTAATTTAAAGAAAGTACCCCAAGCAAAACAGGCACTTTATATACATATATATAGGGAGTGGGACTTAAACTCGAACCAACTATGCCTGTGCTGGGGGCCTGAGTTGACTCTCTGAAGAGTCAGCTTCAAATCTGCTGCTAAAAGACACAATGCAGCTAAACATAGGCTGCCCAGGGAGGTGGTTGAGTCCCCATCCCTGGATGTGTTTAAGAATAGGGTGGATGATCTACTTGAGGATATGGTTTAATGGGGATTAGGGATGGTTGGACTCGATGATCTCTAAGGTCTTTTCCAACCTAGAAATCTATGAAATCTATGAAACATACCGTTCTGGACAACGGAACCGCAGGTTTTTCTGGACCTGTTAGTTTACCCTTTGCATCCCATCCAAAACTATGTTTTAGCTATAGAAGACTGGTTTGCCCACAGCACTACAAATATTTAACAAATATATAAAGTGGAAGGTGTCAACTAACATTCAACAAGTTGTGACACAATCTTGAAAACAAGCTTTTGATTCAATCCACTTGCACATGAAAAAAAAAAAAGGAGTAATAAATAAATAATTGATATGTCTGATGAATAAAACAAAGCCATTATTCAATCTTATGATGGGAACTTGGCGTGTTAATAAAAGCAATGAAGAAACTGATAATTGCCACCAGAAAAACCCAAATGAGAGAACTGCACCAGTCCAGGATTAGCTTATTTTAAATAGAAGATAACATCCAAAATATTACCAAGAAGAATATGAAACACTGCAGTTGCTTTCTGAAATAGCATATGCCCACAAAATACCTTCTGTGAGTAACAGATGTCTTGTGGAGAAAACAATACATAAAAAAATACAGTTAGTTCACTTTTACTATTGAAATAGATCAGAAGCTTAGGTTAATAAACTTGTAAGTAAGTGAGAAAACTGGTTACTACTCAAGCAGGCCAAGAAAGGAATTGAAATGGCTCATTTTAATTAAAGCGTAACATCTTTCTCTAAAAGAATCCCAAATGAATTGAAGAATGTTGCGTGGACACACCCATCACCAGAAACATGCAGCAGACTTTGGAGAACGGTTTCCAAAGACGTGAAAGGCAGAAACAACCAGAGAAAAGAAAAGCCTGGAATTCAACAACTCACCTGCTTGGATACCTTTGTTTAACATCCGCGTCCGTCGCTTGTTACTAAGAGCAGAGCTTGGCCCCCAAGAACCGCTGACTGCGGAAGTTGAATCTGATGAAAGGGAGATTATCTTCTAGGAAAAAAAAACAAGCAAGAGAACAGAAATCCCTGAAATACTAGCTGAAATGAACATAAAGCAGGTTTTAAACAGCAAAAAAAAAAAAGAGTTCTAGCCATTACTGTTTACTTGTTGTACCTTGATTCTACTGTTATTTAGATGTTTATCACAGGCTGACCAGTGTCTCTTATGACTGTGCCACACAACAGCCAGCCTTGACTCTACCCTCGTGCACCATGGCGCTTTCTGCATCCCATTCTAGTAAGAAGAATGCACAGTTTCTGTAGGCAAGAGCTTGCCTGTGATCGCATTCTGTACAGCGCTGAGCATCCTCCAATTTGTTTCTCCAGAGTTCCTGAGACAATGTGGCCTGTCAAGACAGACTTACAAAAACACTTTGCTTGAGGCAAGATCATTTGTTGGCTGTACTTTCATGTAAGACCGTAAAGTGTGAAATATTTCTGATTTGGAAAAAAGGGGAATAAACCCCTAAACTGAATCCTATATCCTATAATCCTTCTGCTCTGCTCTCTTGAGATCCCCCCTGCAGTACTGTGTTCAGCTCTGGGGCCTCCAAACCAAGAAGGAGATGGAGCTGTTGGAGCGGGTGCAGAGGAGGCCAAGGAGATGATTTGAGGGCTGGAGCACTTCTGCTATGGAGACAGGCTGAGAGAGTTGGGGCTGTTCAGCCTGGAGAACAGAAGGCTGCAGGGACACCTAGCAGCCTTCCAGTTCCTAAAGGGGCTACAAGAAAGCTGGAGAGGGGCTTTTGACAAGGGCATGTAGTGACAGGACACGGGGCAATGGCTTTAAACTGAAAGAGGGGAGATTTAGATTAGATGAAAGAAATTTTTTACATTGAGGGTGGTGAGGCACTGGAACAGGTTGCCCAGAGACGTTGTGGCTGCCCCATCCCTGGAAGTGTTCAAGGCCAGGTTGGATGAGGCGTTGAGCAACCTGGTGTAGTGGAAGGTGTCCCTGCCCATGGCAGGGGAGTTGGAACCAGATGAACTTTAAGGTCCCTTCCAACCCAAACCATTCTGTGATTCCTACCCTCTCAAATGAAAAGCCTTTAAAGGTTGCTGGGTTTGCTGAATGGACAAACTGTCTTGAAAGATTAACATGTTGCTTTGTAAATTCACACTGAACTCCGGTTCTGTACCATTGGCACAGAAGAGCAAAGTCCTTTCAAAACTTGGGAAGTTCTCTCACCTTGTGATCCTCATTACACAAAGTTCTCCAGGTGGAGAAAATTAAACTCAATAAAAAAAGAAATGGAAGACACATGGTAAGAGATTGGCTTAAGCAAAATACTAGTTTCACGTCTTCACCATTCACACAAAGAAATTCCAGCTGCAGGGATGTAAGCAGCACAACTCTTGTTACAACAAATTCACTTAAATTTGATGACACGTTATAACTTTACAGCCATTTAAAAAGGAACATACTCTGTAAGTGTAATGCATCTAGTCCACACGCTTTTTGGCTACATAAAATACAGAGAAGGTTAGTGCTTTATTAACAGCAATTAACTGCCAGTGCTTCCCCAGGCTTCAAATCCAACGGTGCGGCACAGACCAATCTCTGCAACTCTGCTGAATTTAATTTTTAATTATGAAACAGATTTTTTTTTTTCTCCTTGATCAGAGCAATTAGTATCCTATTAGTAACTCATAACGCTAGCCAGGATGGAAACGAACAGAAGCTTTTTTATTACCTTTTTATTGAACCTCTGCTATCACCACTTCAATGCAAAACATAATTTCATCTCCACATTAAAAGGAGGCAGTTTTTACTCTCATGCATACTGGCAAGAATTGGTTTTTAGTTTCATAAAGCTATTTCAGCCCTAGTAGAGTGCACCAGACAGATGTAGTAGATATTTATCTTCTTTCAGAGAACAGAAGCAAATTTGAACATGTGCTCAGCAAAAGGGAAGACAGTAAAAAGTAAAGGAAAAAAAAAAACTCAGACAACCCATTTACTGCATGGGTTATGCCTATCAGCCCGCAGAAATAAACACAAGCAGCCATTCAACACTGAGTATTGACATGCATATTCCTAGTTGGACTAGAATATTCAGCGTGGGGCTTTGGAAGCCCGTCAGCAGTTGAACAGCACAACCTTTCGCTTTGTACCTGCTACCAGCTGGCAGCTTGAAGAGTGCTTTAGAAATAGCCCAAACTGGAATAGAGAAAAACCTTCTGGGATGGGTTCAGCGTCTAGAAATAAAAAAAGCTGTAACCAAGTTTTCTGGAACCAGGGCTGACAATAGGCTCTCTTAAAAAAACTGAGCTACAAAATGCAGCACTCTTCTGAGAGATTCACAGAATCACAGCATGTCAGGGATTGGAGGGGACCTCAAAGGATCATCTAGTCCAATCCCCCTGCCGGAGCAGGACCACCTAGATCAGATCACACAAGAACCCATCCAGGCGGGTTTTGAACATCTCCAGAGAAGGAGACTCCACAACCTCTCTGGGCAGCCTGTTCCAGGGTTCTGTTACCCTTACTGGGAAGAAGTTTTTCCTCATGTTTAAGCGGAACCTCCTGTGTTCCAGCTTATATCCATTTCCCCTTGTCCTATCATCAGACGCCACTGAGAAGAGCCTGGCTCCATCCTCATGACAGTCACCCTTTACATATTTATAAACACGAATGAGGTCAAACATACAGACTGAGTTTGAGTTATTTCTATTAAAAAAAACAACTAACTCATTTCAATGAAATCTATTAGTAACAAGTTTGAGTTATTTCTATTAAAAAAAACAACTCATTTCAATGAAATCTATTAGTAACGGTGACACTACCACTTTCCTCAGCTAATACAAAAAAAAAGAAATATTTCTCACTTGTTCCTGTACTTTTCAGCATTAATGTATATTACAGACCACTAAAATTACCTCTGTAATTTCTTACTATAATGACCAAACCCATGCCAAGGCCTCCTCTCAGGAAATTAATTTTCATTTCTCCTCCAAGAGGCAATGGCCAAATTCAACTGAAGTAATCAGAAAGATTTTATCCACTTTAAAATAGTTTACTCCAGACTTTTCACCTAGAATCCTTAGGACCAAGACCTGGTCTTTTAATAAGCCTAAACTTCCAAATACAGAAATTGAAGAAGCTTACAACCAACACTCAGCAAGACAAAAGAATTCCAACATTTGAAATAGACAAACAGTAAGGAAAATTCAAATAATAATTCCCATTTTTATGAAATTGGATTTATCGTTTCCCAGAGATATTCAGGTAGCAACATGCAGTCAAAAACCTACAACCTCAACTTACCACCACCGTCCTCAGGATTACTAAAGCACAGAACCTGCAGGTAACTAGAAATCAGATACAGCAGGATCTTGCTTCCCAAGACAAATAAAGGATGAGGAAAAAAAACAACCCACAAATAAGAACAAAGGGAAAGAAAGCACAATTGACGTTTTAAGACATTTTGATCTCATCCTTATTCCTGGAAAGGCAGGACACTTGTTTGAGCTCCTTCGATCAAAGACAGAAGTCTACCAAATAAACAACGCTGGAAAGGCAGGACACTTGTTTGAGCTCCTTTGATCAAAGGCAGAAGTCTACCAAATAAACAACACTCTCTGTGAAGTTTTAAACGATTCTCCAAATGACAAATTCTACTACTGTACAGGAGTTAAAGAGTTCCTGCAAGATTAGTTAAAATTGTCTTTTGGTCTAACTGACCACATACCTGGATCTCTTTCTTTTTCCTGTGTCTCTCAGAAGTAACCTTTGGGTATTCCACACCCACTGCTTTGCCACTTCCCTTGTCCCACTTTTCAGAGCGACTTTTCTGGTGGTCGATGGTGCAATAAAGCTGGGAGAGTCTTGGTGACACGCGCACTCTTTCACGCCCAAAAGCCCTGATCAGCCTAGCAGTATCGATGGTGGAAATGGAACTGCTCCCCTCAGTCAGAGTTGCAGTTTCCATCTCCGTTTGGCTCACCGTGTCTGATTCTGAGGTGGTGGAACTGATGGTGGTGCCATGATCTCTACTAAGCCTTGCCTCTGAGGAAGTGTCACTAGGAGTTTCCAAGCACTGCTGGTGCTCCAAAATTTTATTCATGTGGCAAATAGTGCTCTCTCCTGACCTATTTTTCCTGAGCTCAACAAGGCTATTTTTATCATGGGTGATACGCGGTCTTTCTTCGACACATGTTGCATTAGGCTCTAAGGTACTTTCAGACACGCTCTCTTCTGGCAGTCTTATTTTCTTCTGTTCTTTCCCCTTTATTTTCTTTTCAGAAACATTCTTTTCAGATTTTGTTGGTATTAGTGTATGCTTAATGGGATTCTGAAGGACCCTGGCCAATCGATCGAGACGTTCCACAAGGGACAGCTCACCATTCCTCCTAAAATCATGGTGCTGGTGTTTCTTCTGGCACTCCAAAAACTTAATCCAGAGTTCATCTAAGCTACCACCGGAGTGGGTTCTCTGTCTTGGTGGGAGGTCTTTCTCCACGTTCTCATTAAAGCCAGTTGTTTGGCCACATGGATAATTTCTAGCTGCCTTTTGTTCTGCTTCTCTTCTGCCACATTGAGGCAGCTCCTTCCCGGATGTTTCATTCCCCAAAGATGCACTAACATTTAGATCCTCGTTCTTGCTGTAATCTGCTTCTGCAGTGAGTGGAAAGAATTCAATTGCACCATCTTTTTTACGGCGAACAGAGAAAACACGTTGATGACCATGTGCTCTTTCCTGATTCTGCAAGACAGCCCTGGAGGAAGCTCTAGCATGTCCAGTTCCAGAACTGTTTTCTGAGAGGTCGCTGTTAGACAAGAAGTAGCTCTCACACATAGGCATCGGACGGTGACGGTAGAACCGTGCAGATTTGAAGACTGAATGAGTGGTTTTCACAGACTTAGAGTGATTTGTGCATTCTAGAAGAGAAGAAAACATTTTAATTTTTTGTTTCTTTACAGAGAAGCAGGTAGCAAACAGCAAATCATCAAACAGGCTGACTTTCATCCTAAAGCTTCCAATCACTTCAAAGGGTTAAAAAGCAGGAATCACTGTACCTGTTCCTGAAATGCAACAAACTTACATTTTTAAGTTTCAGCATTATTAAAAGTTCATAAATAATATCTTCTATCATTCGCAACACGAAATTCAAGAGAATATTACATCCAACGGAATCTGAAGGAGGGATCTAGTTACACCACAGGTAATTACTCTGACCAAAATTTGGACTGACTCTTTATTTTGTATTTATGGAAACTCATGACAGGCAGCTGCTACTCATTTTGCCTCTTTTCAGGCAAATGCCCAGGGAGTACAAACGTCCCCTAAAGCCATGCCTGAACGTTATCTGGGAACAGCACTATATATAAGACAACCAATACCACTTTCTACATAGCTCCTAGAACCATCTCTGATGGCGCACCAAGATCTAGCTCTGACACATTTTAGGTTGATGCAGCAGAGAAATCCCCCCTGGTATACACTACTATCTGAAATTACAAAGGACTATGTGCAGAAATCCAACGATAAACTCAGTTGTAATAGACATACAGTAAGTATGCACACAGCATGTGCTAGCAGGAATATATTCCAAAATAATTTTAAAGCCATTTATAACATACTGTAAAAAAAAAAAATAAAAATCAGGTTTTAAAAAGTAAAACTGTGTTTCATGTTATGTTCTTTGTATAATGGACTGAATTATATAATGATCCATGAAGGCAGAAAGTAGAAATTATAGATGCTAGCACCAGAAGAATTTCCCAAGCCCCTATGCTTACGGCAAGATATTCCATGCCCCTGTAGCCAAGTATGTCATTTAAAGATGCCTTCTAGAGTAGTAACAGCTTTAATAGAAATAAAGAAGTCAACACAAAGAAAGAAAAGTCCATTTACTAACGGTAACGCCAGTGACCAGGTAATGGGGAGCTGTCAGTAAATACGTATCAAGCTCCAACAATGGCAGGAATCACACTCATACTCATTTTTTTCTACCGTTCCAACATTCCTCCCAAGTTTGTTTTTTTTCCCAGTGTTTTTGTTGTTTTGTTTGAAATTGAAACGAGAACAGAACTGGAAATCAGGTCTTCCTTTCTTCATTTGAGCAAGCTTGGCCACTGATTCAGCAGAAGGGTAGCAAGTCCCACAACCAAGCTTTCTCCCTACCCCTGGAGGAAAATACCTGCCTACCTCCTCAAGAATCACCAGCTAGGTTTATATTAAACCTCCACTCCACTTGGGAAAAAGTGATGCAAGATAAGCTCAGGAGGGGTTACGATTGTGTGAATTCTTACTGTTAATGCTGCCTTATAAGTCTTTTACTTCTCTTTAGGCGCCTGCTTTCCTTACGTTTTATACATCTCTTCCTTTCCCAACACAGAGGCACTTCAGTGTAATGTCAAGATCATGAATAGCATAGTCAGACCTAGTCTCACTAACTCTGAAATTGGGGGAATTGGTCTTTCCATACCAGGTCAATGTTTATATATTCATGTAAGAGGACTTTTCCACATCCTCCTGACAAATGTGTTCAGGCTTGGGAATATTGTGCAGAATTTTTGCTATTTCTGTACTTTTAAAAAGTTACCAACAAAATGGAAGGAATGCAAACAGACAAAAAATGAAAACAAGTTTATATAGGGAAACTTTTTTTTAAAAAAAACACATAACTTGCATAATTTTAAGCTCTAGACAAGTTCTGTGGGTAGAGGTAATCTTTTATTAGACCATCTAAATATATAGTTGAAGAAGTCAGAGAAGATTTTAAGACATGCAAGTCTCTTCAGAAAGCTTGCCTAAATTTCCAACTGTGTTGGCTGGTTTAATGAAAGATTATTTCTACTTAAGTTCTTTTCTTGCCTGTGTCTTTAGACCATCACAGCTACAGAAAAATACTATTAGATAATTTCATATTAACACTTGTGTTCCCCTTCCATTTTTATCCAAGCTATTCAGAGAGACAGATATCCACTGATCTCTGCTCCAACAGGATATTTTGTTTGTTACTGCAGGTTCTTGTTTGGAGAGCTCACTTCTATACGCACACTCTTTCTTCAGCTCTCCTGCCATGACCCAGCATTATTCTTCCGAGCTACTCGCAGTGAAAGAAGAAAAGCATTTTTTTATCTTACTCCACTTGTTTCCGTATCCTTGCATTTTATAAACGCTCATAGAGAATTATTTCTTTCATTAGAAAAACCAGGTTAAGAGAACATCATCTTCACTGTTGCACTAATGAACTATTGGTCCTATGTACACTCACCAAAAAAAAAAGTAAAATGAATTTGAAATGATTCATTATTTTATCTTATCTTCTGGAAATAAAAGTTATCTCCAATTAAAATAATTAGAAGGAATCCCTATCAATACATCAGCACAGCTCTGTGGGGTGACCTTATCCCAGGCATACTGAGCTGCCTGCTTAAAAAGGACAACCACCATCACACTGATGTACTCCATAAAAATCTGTTTCATTAAATGTCTTCATATAACAAGTTTACACGATACTAAGAAAAATAAACGGGCTCCCAAAAACCCTATATATGGGACTGCCTAGAAGAGAGCAGGAACTCTCTAACTCAGAATCCATTATGCTGTTCACGTGCTTTAGGTCCCATTCCTCATTAACAGCTACAATTATATTACCTCCTTGCACTTTGCTCGCTTTTAGTTTAATACAGTACATGTTGCAAAATACTGTACTGTGCAATAAACACCTTCCCTGAGGAACGAGTAGCTGTATTTAGAAGAGATGGCAACCACTCACCAATTTTCTGTTTACAGGTACTTCTGTCCAGGAACAAGATGCAACTCTCAAACACAACAAAAATCCTCATCCCTGCTCAGACTCGAGGAAGTTTATTAGCCACTCAAAAATCACAGAATGAGGGTTTGTACAAAAAAAGTGTTCATCAGGACTAATTTTAGCTACTGTCATAAGATACAGTGTCAAAATCATCAGTCAGCACAGCGTAATTTCATTTTGTCAGCATTCTCAACAAATAAAGTCTTAAAATAGGCTACTATAGTAGTAAACCCTGACCTTCATCCCTCAGGAGTACCATCCAACAAGGCTAATGGAGGGGAGGGAGAAGGAGACGTCAGCCAAATCAAATTAAAATTCAGTTAAATACCAACATTACAAAGATACTTTACATGACATCAGCATGTTTGTGGGTAGGAACACAACTCCAAGCCAATATACAGAGCCATCCCACCTGCTTTTATCTACCAGGAAATTTCTGTCATTTTCTACATGGGCATCCTTTGCACTTGACAAATTTTAGAGTGCCTTAAAAAACAAAAAAAAAACCACACAAAAACCACCACAGAAAACACCACAAACAACAACAAAATCCAAACTCCACCCAACCCCCCCAAAAAATCTTACAAAGGCTCCAGTAAGCACTGGGGCTGCTGGAATGCTAGCAAATACTAAAGTCCAAGTATTTGGGCAGTCGGGGAGAAGCAGAAATATGGGGAAGAGAAAAATGAGTCAAACTCAGCACCTTCGGGCAGACCATCAGCAATATTACAAGACCAGAAATCACAGATTCTGAAATGCAATTCTTTTGCTCTACTTTCTTTCCGGCGTATGAAAACACAAGTAAAATTAAACACACAATTTAACTACCTGGGGAAGCTTCCAGTGGTATTGTTTGCTCCTCAGCCCAGGCTCGCTTGGGCTTGGCCCTCTTACTGGAGATTCCTTCTTTATGCATGACAGCTGTACTGTCTGGAGGATTATCATCCCTTAAACTAAGCGCGTTTGCCGGAAACCTTGGAGGAGGAGCATCATTTGACCCTGCAGAGAAAGAGAGCAACAATTATGAGTAAAAAGAGGAAGCAGGAAAAATAGATACAGAAATTTCACAGGACAATATAAAAAAAAAAAGCCCATGATCCAAATATTAGTACCAGTTTATTCACCTACCAACAATCAGGATCCCTATGGAGCTGTTCTAGTGACTAATACAGCAGCAGTAGGGATTGTGCCACATTGTTTTCCATGATTCTTGGTGACAAGGTTCTTCCCTGAGAGGCAGATACATTTTACTTACTCTACTAATGAGCAGAGAAGACGACAATAAAATAAGCATTAGAGGAGCCTGCTAGGAAGCCAGACACAAGGCTTGGAATGTCCAGACTCTCTCCTGCTCACATTAAAATTCCAGACATTTTCACTGACTGATGTAAATATCTATTTTCTGGGCTCAGAATAGCAATGGAGAAAAACTAGAAGACTAGAGTAGGTCAGTAAAATCTCTACACAAGACAACATCAGCAGAGCTCTCTTACTATCATATCATGGTCTCCTAACATTAGAAACCTAAAATGGCCCTTAACTGATTTACCATCCTTGTCAACACCACCTGGTCACATTCAGCAGACTTACTCAACTCCATTTCCTTCAGCTACTACTCATGAGCGAAGAATCCTAGCTGCACCAGGGATTTTAAAAAACAAAATTGACTTTTTTTTCTGCTGTACATTTCCCAGAATCTTGCACTGCCTCATATGCATACTGAATTTTTATATCTAGCATCATAGTTTCTGCAAAACAACAGACTCGCATCACATTTGTTTCTCTTGTTTTGACCATATTACAACAGACAGACTGGAAAAAGGTAACGAGCAGAGACAGGCATAAACAATTAAAAGTACAAATTGTGGCTATGAGGACTAACCTGTGCACTTACTGTCATTGGTGTACACCCTACTCCCCTGGGGCACATCTGTCAGGAACTGGACATCTCTGTATTATTAGTTTTGTCTACAAATAACTTTGGATGTCAAAAAGCTCTGACTGATAACAACCTGCAAATAAGACCTATAAAGCTTCAGTGATGCGTTCCTTACGTATAGGAGAGAACCGAAAAATAACAGCAGGCAAAGCAAAAGAAGTTGACGGATCACAGAGCATCCTTTCCTCCGGTAAATGAGAAGTGTTTTTTACTGGGAGATGGGAGGATGTGGATATATTTTAAACCACAGTTACGAGTTACATTGTTTACAGAAAAGCTTTCTACACTGGAATTCCTTAACAGGGAGAAAAACTCAGTACTGAGAAAGCTGTTATCTGAAATGCATGTTGTATTATGCTGATATTTCAGAATGCACACATAACCAAATGAATAAAAAAAGGGGGAGAATGTACATAAATAAAGGAACTAAAAAGAATGAGAACTGACAGAGATATGAACAAGTCCAACCTGAAGAGTTACTCCTAAAGGATAGTAAAGAATTATCAAGCTGTAAAACATTCAGCCTCGTTGCTTTCCACTGCCAGATTGGAATACTAACATCCCTTTCATCAAAGGAATTTAAACCGTAGCCTTCAGTCAGGACTCGTACATCTTTGTGTTATAAAATGGTATGAACATGAACAAAGCCATTTTTCTGTTAAAATCAACGCACTTACTCTGAACTGGCAGGACAGAAGAATTCTGAGCTCGACTGAGACAATTCTGCATATGAAATAGATATAATTTTGATCCATGAACTACAACCATCATTTGGCATTTGGAAGACCTACGATATGTACCTGAGTGAGAGCTCTCAACACCAGTTTCTGACTCAACTGGAGAAATTTTGGATCCTGCCTTTAGGTAAGGAACGTAATACATCCCAGTACTTCCAGAAGGCTTGTACGGCAGCAATATGGGCTGATCTGTGGGGACAGAAGGCAAAGCAATTAACAGAAGTCAGGCTTTAATCCTTTAACATAACTTAAGACAAAGCAATAGATAGGACCGAAGGACACTGCTGAAGATGTTCACTGTGGTTAATCTGGAGAAATAGCACATGCTTTAGGAAAATGAATTGCGATTGTTAATTATTTAATTCATACTCACCCAATGGTTAGAGGGTTGACTGTTATCTAGCTAGAAAAAATAGCTTACTTACCTATTCAATATTAAACTTGTGACTAGGGTGACAAACACTGACTTAAAAAAAACCAAAACCAAACCAACTCACATACCCATATACTCCCAGTTCATCTATGTTTAAAGAAATAATTTTAAATGAGCACGGATACCTGTCTCTCAAGTCAATAAAAAGTGCGCTGTCACAACAGAACTCCAGCAATTTTTGGACCAGCACATGAGCTTTTACTATTAAAGTGTTGATCTGATAGCTGAAATATTTTTTGTACTCTGATATAACGAAAGAAACTGTTCTCTCAACTCATACTATTTTAAACACCTTGAGAATAGAGATACAAAGCCTGGAGCCCAAGAAAAATCATGAAAACTACACAAGTCTGCACACATCAGTAGTATAAAACACCACTGTGGGAAACCACTGCACAACATCCACATTCCTCTGTCAACAGATTTTAAAAGCTCTGCAGCTCTGCACGTTTTTCTATTTTATTCTGTTGAAAATAGCCACGTGCATATTTTCCTCTTTGTGTACTACCCTGACTAGAGAGTAAATCAGTAATCAGATATATTTTTTGATAAACTCTAAGCAGTGAACCAAATCAAACCATCTAGAAACAAATGTCAGAAAATGTTCTTATACCCAACAAACTCAGTTCCAGACAAACCCGAACTGAGCTACAACTCTACACATCTCCCTACTGACAAGACTGCAGAGCCCAAGTTTAAGGCTTGAGATTTTCCTATATAAGCAACTATAAAAATCAAAATTACATCAAGAATACTACTTCCACAAAAAAGCTGGGTTTGTTTTTGGTTTTTCTCGAACTTGAATAGATGAGAGTCTACATATACATATAATACACTAATTTGCTCACCACCCTGCCTCAGGAAAGAGGAAATCTTCTTAAGAGATGAAGCTGTATTGTTGGGAAGTTCATGTGCTTTCTGGAGAGACAACTGGTGGACGGCATTTTCACCGTCTTGTGAATTAACATAAATTTCTGCTGAAAAGGTGGTTTTTTCAGGACTTTCTGTTGTTATCTGAGTGGTAGCATCAGAAGTACTTTTCCCAGTTTTTGCAGGAACTATAGAGTTGAAGGTATTCTCCAGATTACATCCCCCTGAACCCAGAACAGTGAGTTGTGGTCTCTCACTGCTTTGCAGAGGCAGCTCTTGTGCTGCTCTGCTTGTAAGAGAGGAAAGCACTAGGCAGGGATCTGCTGAAGACACTGGCATTGGGAAAGACGAAGATCTTTGATCTTCTGGAATAAGGTCAGCAGCTGATAATTTAGAACCAGTTTCTATTAAAGTTTCTGGAGTTTTTAAAGACACTGGTTGAGTACTAACTTCAGCTTTATCCCATGATCTCATCTGATTTTCAGTATTTGCGTCACTATGCAGCTCTGAGTTATTGCACGTTGAGGAAAGAGTTATGTGGACACAAGACAGTACTTTCTTAGTTGGTGATGAAAGAGATCCAGATGTGGTGGATAAAACCTCATCCGTAGATGAAGGGTGAGACGTACTGATTTGGTCTCTCGCAGACTCTTTCTGTACGAGAAGTACTTCATCAGAAGGACTTTTCTTCTCTTCTTCCAACAATTTATCATGGCCCTTCAGCAAATCAGTTTGTACGGCTGGATTTGAACCTTCTAAGCTCTCATACAATTGGATGTGGCCAGGTGGGCTGCCTTTGTCCTGCTGGTAAGAGCTTATAGAGTGGGGTTCATTCAATCTATTCGTTCCTTGACTGAATCTTGTATCGCTGTCAATCTCCACGAGTCTGGCACTATGCCTGCTCAATTCAGTCACATCTTGAAGCAGAACATCAGAATTTGTTGCACTAAGGGTCTGTCTTTTATCAGCATGGATGCTCACAGAATCTTGATCTGACGAACAGTCTGTTTCTTGATAAGCTCCAACTCTGTTACTGTCAGCAGAGACATGATGAAACCTGTCTTTCTCAGCAGTAAAAGAAATCTCATTAGACACTGAGCCAGCAAGCATTGGACTTGAAGCAGGACAGGTCTTAGATCTTTCCCAGTGTTGTTTTCCACGCCTTTGTTCCTCGGTGCCAGCAAAGTCAACCTCCAAAGGCATTATCCCATCAAGACCATCTCTAGTAAGACTACAGCTGAGCGCCACAGAAGCCAACGGTGACTGCAAACGTTTCCGGGATGAAAAGGTGATAGAAGTAATTTGCTTAGCCATATCCTCAGAGCACTTTTCCATTGACTGCTTCTCCTGAGCTGGTAACAGGGCTTCTGTTTGTAAATCGGAAGCAGCTGCAGACCTTACTGCATAGGTGTTCCATTCCTTCTGCAGTGGTGGATGAAGCTCAACAACAGCATCGGAATGACCAGTTGCAACTGTTAGATGTTGGTTGCAGGTAGGTGTTTGAACAGTACTCAAAGTTTTAAACTGCGTGTCCTTCAGCAGGCAACAATCAGAAGCATCAGCTCTGTGTAGTGGCACGGCATGTCGTAAGCTTGAGTCTACGAGCTCCTCAGTCCTGACAGCTTGTGTTTGTTTGTCAGTTTGAAATCTTTTGTCACTTGGAGCTTTGAAACGCTCCATGTCCTGTTCCCCATCATGGCTATACTCAGAAGCAGGTTCCAAACTGCATCTCCACGAATCCTGAAAAGCACAGAAGAATTCACATAGGCTACGTGGACAACTTCCTGTCCTTGCCAAAATCTGGACTGCAGAATTAAAAAAAAAATTAGTGCTGTCAATAATCAAGAGTCTGTCATCATGAATGAGCACATGCTTTCTCTGGAACTCATCTGTTAATTAGGCTAATTAAAAATTCATCATATTTTAAATGCCAGCAAATTAGCTAACATGGTTTTGATACTACAACGAAGAGCAGCAGTGACATCTGTAACAGAAACCTTCAGTTTTGTGAACTATAAAGTTGTAATTCTGTTACTTACGCTGACTAAGTTGTAAATACCTCTCAACATCACTCCACTCACTGCAAAACAAGAATAAAACTTTCTTCCTTTCTATCAGTTGGCTCCATACACAGCTGGACATTTATCATAAACCCAGTTCATAACGTACTGGGAAAAATTACTGTCTTTTGAATTAATATGTATTCACTAAATTCAAAGAGATTTAGGGAGACAAACACATCTCACTAAAGCTTTGTGATTTCAGTGATAATTTTATTAATTTAAAAAGATAGCCAATTAGCTACACAAAATCACAGAACCACTTAGGCTGGAAGAGACCTCTGGAAGTCTCTAGTCTGACCTCTCCCTCGAAGCAGGGCTAACTTCAACATTGGAACAGGTTGCTCAGGGCCTTGTCCCATCAAGTTCCAAAAATCTCCAAGGATGGAGATCTTGTGATCCGTAAATTACTGGTGAAAGGCATCCCTTCACAGCTCCACGGAAAAACAAAACAAGACAGAAACCCACATTTACTTCCAGTTGTAAGTACTCAAACCTTAACCAAGTATGTAACGTTAAGTTCTGGTGACCTCCAAGAAACCAGGTAGTAGGTACACACTGATACTCTTCTGGTTTGGACCAGAGTCCAGACAAACCCCAGGCTATCAAAGCACGACATTGCGTGACATTTTAGGGTCTGCATCTGACATTTTGCTATGCCACAACTATCATTACAGGAAATAGAACTTGATGTAAAAGTTTTTCCCTTGCATGGGAGTTGTTTGACTCTAGTGTTTATGAAACAGAACTAAAATGGAAGGAGCTCAGTTACATGGGAACAAGCAAGAAGAAAAAAAAAAGGGCATGAGAAAATATTTAATTAGAAAAGCTTTAATTTTCCATAATTGATATTCCTCTTTTCCCCTAAAACAAGTATACCAATTTCCCTCTCAGACAAGAGCTGTAATAAATCTTTTCTTATTTTATGGCCACCGCCCACTGCTGACAATAATTAAAAAATGACTGAAAATAATCAGAACTTTGATGTGCTGTTTAAGGTAAATGAAAACTTGCAAAAACTTTCCAGTTCTGAGGGGCAGATCATTTTCATTCCCCCATCAAAACAGGTATGTTTGCCTCAAATACAATTTTTTTGTTTGGAAAGCTGGTGACAATGCTTCAAAAAAGGGAACATATTCTTAGCAACTGAGAAGACACTAATCCCACCAAAACCAAGGAAGTGCACTGTCAGGGCTCTTTGTTCGTAAAATCTTGTTAAAAATAAGTTACATTTACACCTTTGTCTGACCATGCACATTGTCCCACATCTGTTAAACCCACCAATATCAGAGCCACTATATTTAGGATTCTGCTATTTGACTAATGTATTAGGGCATCTCTGGCAGGTATTTTACAAAACAGTATGAAACATCATGTCCTAAATTACCTGCCTGGGGTCATTTAGGAAATTGAAACTAATAATTTACTTTAGTACTAACTTCCGTCCTCGTTTCTTTGCCTGATTTTACTAACCATTCCCATTTTCAGCATGCTTTCCAGTCCTCATTGCTTCTTCTCCTGTATCTCAAGCCTCATTCCACCATCGAAAAAAAGGTCCCAACGGCAACAATCAACAGCAACTTATCATTCCAGGTAAATAAAATAAAAGCAACATATGCTATAGCCCCTCAGCAGAATCGGACAAAAATAACCCACACCCTGCTCTCTAAGCATACTCATCAGCCTTTCAGCTGTCTATTAATGAGGCACATTACTGACACTGCAGTTAACTGGAAAATTCCCAGGGTTACAGATCCTGCTCACTAAGGAACCTACACGTTCTTCTGGCCTCTCAAAATCTAACCAGATTTCTCAACATAGCTTTTACAAACAAAGCACTAAATACACCACACAGAGACAAAAGTTATGAAGGTCAGAGGGCTGGAGCACCTTTGCTATGAAGACAGACTTAGAGAGTTGGGGTTGTTCAGCCTGGAGAAGAGAAGGCTCTGGGGAGACCTTCCAGCAGCCTTCCAGTACCTAAAGGGGATACAAGAAAGCTGGAGAGGGGCTTTTGACAAGGGCATGTAGTGATGGGACACAGGGCAATGGCTTTAAACTGAAAGAGGGGAGATTTCGGTGAGATCTAAGGAAGAAATTCTTCCCTCTAAGGGTGGTGAGGCACTGGCACAGGTTGCCCAGAGAAATTGTGGCTGCCCCATCCCTGGAAGTGTTCAAGGCCAGGTCGGATGAGGCTTTGAGCAATCTGGTGTAGTGGAGGGTGTTTCTGCCCATGGCAGGGGCGTTGGAACTAGATGATCTTTCAGATCTCTTCCAACCCAAACCATTCTAAGAGTTCAGCAAATGGTTCTAGTTACTTGTCAAGCAAAGTAGAAATAAATGTGTCTAAATAACTCGACGAAGTTCGGATATTCCAAACTCTTCTTTCAACTCAGTACAAACAGCAGATACTAACAAGACACATTCATTATCTGCAGAGATTTAGTGAGATCAACAAGACAAACAAAACGGGATCCTCTCTCTCTGACTGGCTCACCACCCTCATTTCCCTACTTTCGTCAACTCTCCATGCTTTTGGAGGGATCAGGAGGTAGGGATGGACAGGATCTTTGCTTCCAAGACTTTTCTTATCACAGCAGAAGCTCTCAAAGGCTGACAACAGCAACTTACCTGACTGGTGTAAAGAGAATGTAGTTTGGAAAAAAAGAAATGCAAATGCCTCTAGATTAAAGATCATACTACAAACAAGAGAAAACACCGCACTCCCAGACGCATGCAGAAAGCCTGCTACTCTAAGCACAAAGAGAAAGCCTTGCAAGTACAACCGGGAAAACCTGAAGTTACCAGTCAACAGTAATTTATTACTGTCAGTGTTGATCAAAAAACTGCAACAGATTTTGCCCTGATGCATATTAAGGCAACTACTCACCTGATCCATTAACACTGCACCTCCAATGAGGGCCAATAACAAACTGAAACACTAACCTTTGGAAGGAGCTGTATCTGTTCTAGAGAAAAGGACATTTATTTACATGCTGAGGTTCCCCTCACTTCGACACACACTAAGACAGGCATCGTACAGTTAGTCCCCCTCCTGACACACAACACACCAGATTTCACACCGCATGCTGGAAAGCAGCTCCCTCTTACGTTGCTGCACCCCGATTCTTTTTAACAGGTTGGTGTAGCGTCAGAGGCACTATCATGGTTAGTGAACACTGGAAATGGACGAGACAAAAGACAAATAATTTCATCAGCATCCAAACCTCACATCAAAATCATTAGAGCTCATGTCAGCGAATGTGAAACTATATGATACCTGTCTTCTCTAGGGAGAATTTAAGTGTGGACATCATTTTAATAATTTATCAGTATCTGTCTGCACTTCATTAATGTAAGTGTCATTAAAAATTACAATACTTTCATTGAGGTGCAGAGAGCAAACGTGAGATAAATGTACTGCCATGGAGACAGTCCAGATAAGTTTAAACAAAAATAAAAACCTAGACTATATTTATTTTTTCCTACTGATTGCAACAACTGTGGAAATGGCAGAGTATATTTCATTAGTAAAGTGCAACACAGGTCCCTGGATGGTTACATCCTCAGCAGCTACTTGGAATTTGGAAATAAAAATCAGTCAAAAACATTTTTTGGTGTAAGTCACAAAGTATAAACAAGCATTCCACAACGGATTTTCCATCCGTTCTACATCCCAGATGTCATTAGTAGGAAACTATTTCAGCAAGGTCTGGATTATTATTTCAAAGCAGTACTTTTCTGTGGCCTTACCTATTCTAAGCAAGTAAACTAGTTTATGTGGCCTCCTGTATTTCGTATAGTCAAGAGGGACAACAAGGGACTGCAGAAGAATGCAAGAACACAGAGCAGTCCTGTGCCAGGGCAGAGGTGCTCCCGAGACCCATCTCTTTCCTAAACCATGTACCAGTTCAATGGCCTGAAGTAATACACAGCAACTCCTACTACCAAAAGCCAGCACAGAAGTTGCTATAAACTCATCTTCCCAAGCCTTTCACATGTTTTATTGTGCTTGTTATGTGTCATCTTTCCAAAAAAGATCTGTATGGCATATGATCCACAAGAGATTGCAGTGCAAATTTATAGCTACAACTCAAGTGAACTTCCTGAAAAAGTGTGAAAGTACAAGGAGTGGAAAAATACAGCATATAGTGGAAGAATACAGTGCACAAAGAGAGAACACTCTTAGGTAAGTCAAGAGGTAGCTATTTGGCATGCAGAAAAATACAGGTGGAGTAACAAGGTCCTCAATGTAGAAGAAAAATTATCAGGTTTAATATGCTGAAGCTTTACTTACATTAACAGTAACTCAAACCCCCTCAATCTCAACTGGAGGACTAAACCAAACGTACATGTATAAACAGCACAAGGAGGAAGGTTAAATCTGAAAGACAATGCTCCTGGAACAGAAGACCACCTATAAGTCTTCGGCTTTTCCTAGTTTCTTACTCTTGAAATTCTTCTTATGTGGAAAGACCCTAATGATTTCAGTGGAAGAACAGTAACCAGGCTGATTTCTGGAGCCCAGGACGGACTTTACATATGCTCTTCTTAAAAATCCCAGAAAGACTGGGATTTTCATGTTGTTCTTTGGCTCTTTATGACTGAAGAGCATCACCCACCCCAGGGTTAAACTCCTCAAGCCTATCAAAAGAATAAGTACTCTACCACCAATTACCTGCTCAGGCGAAAAACAGATCTTTACAGCCGCCCCAGTATGGCCACAGATGTAGGAATTATTCATCAAACAGTAAACTATCTATAGGAACGTCTTGGCAACTCTCTGCCTCCCTTCACCACAAAGAAGTTTATACGAGAGTGTCATCAGCTTATCCAAGTTTCACAAGACCCATCTCTGGACAATCTGAAATGTAACTTTTCTCACGCACATTCACAAAACATTTGCAGTTAATAAAGCCACAGCCTTTGTCTCCTTTTCCTCCTAAAAGAGCTCAATGCACTGTACTTTGTCTTTCCATGAATGGCCAATTAGGACCTTTAGGAAGAGTTAGTATCATATGGAGTCAGAATGAAATCTAGAAGAAAAACCCTCTTTGTCAAAAGTTCCATGTTTGCCATCTATTCCTAAGCATTTCCACAAAGCTTTAGTGTTTATTATAAAACGTAACAGTGTGAGTAGAGTATTTCTCTCCTTGTGTAGTGGAAGGGCTACAAAATCACCAGGAAGGCTCCACAAATCGAGGGTACAGAGAACAGATTCACTATTGCAAGGTTTATCAATTTTACAGAAGAGAAAACAAAGAAAATAAAACCCTGAGTTACACTCCTGAGCATTACTTGCTATTAGAGATACTTCCTCAAAATTACATTTTCATACTGAATGTTCCTTTTTTTGGGCCACTATTCAGCTGAGCACTGGAGTACATGTCTGGAGCCCATTTGTGTGCATATGTCCCAATCACCTCCTTAAACACTCTGCTCAGCTAGAACTTGAGAAATCATTATGATGCTTCATTTTTAGAGCGTCTGTTAACACATCACCAGTGACAAACAGCTATCAAACAGATCCTTGACTATCTCAAAAGATGGAACAATCTTTAGAAGTAAAAGATCACTGAGAAAACTTTCCCAAGCTGTCCTGCTCCTTCATCGCATTTTCTTTTTTTTTTTTTTTCTTTTTTTTATAGACAAGCTTCACACGCTTCCTGCAGGAAACAATAAAATATCACAGTGGTACATTATATTTCTTGAGTTGTCACCTAAAAAAATGAGAGGCAGAGTCTAAAGCTTCTAAAAAAAACACTCATCATAAGCCTGCATCACAAGCACTAAATAAAGATGACGGTCTGACGAAAGAACTGCTCGCCTGAGCGCTAGGAACAGTTTGTCTTTCTCAGCCTTTAGAGTTTAGGAGAAGGAAAATATCTTTTCATAATCTTTGTCCTGTTCTTTTTAAGTCAGCACATCAAGTCAGCCAGCTTTGCTCTATAAATTCAACAGGTATTTTACAGAATAGTTTCCATTAAGTTTATAGTACATTATTTTGTCAGCAATAAAACTGGCTGCATTTTTTTCAGTTACATAGTTTTCAACAACCTGTATTTTTCAGTGACATAGTGTTCTTCTTGGAAGGAAAAATACATTTATCTTAAGTATAACAAAAAAATCCAGCCACTTTCGTTCTGCAAATTCAAAACTATTTCTTTTATCTCAAATTAAAGTCATTGTAGAGCAAAAACATTTTCAAGATCAAAGCAGAAAGGTTGTGGTTGATGAAAAGCAATTTCTTGGAGTCTTGGTTTGCAAAACAAATTAATTTTTTCTTACTCTAAATTGGAATAAAACAATTCATAGCTGACACCAAATCACATAAAGGCAAAATACTTGGTTCCAGTTTGTAACAAGTTAATGTCAGGAACAAAGCTGTGATCTAACAAAATCTAAAAGCTGGAAAAAAAATAGCTTCAAGGCCTCTAGTTTTTAATGAGTAGACTGAAGCAAAAATGTATTTTTTTTTTCTTTTTAAAGAATTTCTATATTTCTAAAAATAAATAAAATTGTTAAAATACAATTGTTTTTCTGGCTTCCCAGTCAAAGATTACATCAATATATTAATAACCGAAAGAAAACAAAAACAACAAAAAAAGAAATAAAAAAGGAATATATATTGCTAAAGCTAAAGGCGCTTATGTGAAATGTCAAATCTAGGACAAATTATCACTGTTATTTTTAAATGTAAATTTTCTATGTTCTCCTCAGAAACTGCCCCAACCTTTAGCTCTGCCCAATTATCTAGTCTCTCTTCCACCAACTCTGGATTGTCTATCCCGCACACACGGATACATCATCCACCCCCTACTCATGTTACACAAACATCTCCGCGTTTTTCCAGTCTGTTGGTTTGTTTAAAATACTCCGTATGAATAGCACCCTATCTCGGGACACACGGACAGCCCCTACAAATCGTGACATAACTGGACTGGACATCAGATGAATGCTGAAAATGGATATTTAAAGTCAAACTGAAGGTAATATACTCCTGCTTAGACAAATTCCATCACTATTTTAATATACGAACGAGAAACGTTCCAAAGGATATATGCAAAACACGACAACAATTCAATGTCAAGTTTTCACAGAAAAATAGAGCTGTAAGAGACTGAAAGCCCCTCTAGTCTATATCCCTGCCCCAAATCAGCATTAACTACACTTAGATTATTCTTTACCGATACATGCCCAAGCTCTTCTTAAAAACATACTATGATTAACACTCCATAACCTTCCTCTCATCATCCTTACCATCAAGGAGTTTCTTTTCTAATAAGAATCTTCCTCGCACTTGAAGCCCATTACCTTTGACGCAGTCGACATAAAGGAGGATCCATTTACTCCCTTCTTCCCTGCAGCATCCTCTCAGAAATAAATATCTCCTTTGTAAACACTTCAGAACACACGGGAAGTAACGCAACAAATACTGCTATCACCCAGACAATATTGCACTGCACAGTATCCACACAAGGAGGAGTTTACCAGGCACAGTCAACACATGGATAAATATTTTGTGAAAAGCAGAACTCGTTAAGCCAATTAAGAACCATAAGCTGTGTGCACTTCCTCACCACAGTAACACCAATTCTCCCATCACATCATCACCAACCACATCTCCATCCTTCATACCTTCCTTCAGAACATCTTCAGCTGTGTGCCACCGCCCCACACCCAAAATATCAAACTACTGTCTGGGGAAAACCCAAAAAAAAACCCCAAAAATCCCATCAGACGTGGCTGGTCCTAATACATATGTAGGAACTGACTAAGCATCTCCACTAAACAGAGTTCTCATTAGTTTGCATCCTCCTCCCTCTCTCTAGCCACCAATCTTCAAAAATATTGCAGGAATACAATTCATCATTTTAAGATGACAGGCAAGACAGTAGCCTTTATCCCCAGTTCAAAAATCTCCTCCAGAGCAGCTGGTTTGGCTGGTTTGTACCTTGGCTAGTGCAGATTTCTTGGCACTCAGAAGCAGCTCTGCCTTTATTTCCTCTATTCTTCGTTGGTCCTCTTCATTCCAGTCTGACACAGATTCCTGAGATCCGCTGGCCAGTTTTATCTTCACCCATGCTAGACAAAGAACAGAAAACAGAAACCAGTTCCCTTTCCACTTTCTCACATCATGTACAATAAGAGTTTAATAAATTAAAATCAAAACTCTGCTATGCGTTTTTAGCTACCGTGACTGAGGGAACAAGGACCACTATCAAATACCAGAGCTCATGGACTGACCAGAAAAAAAATTTAAAACAGGTCTTTTGAACATTTCTTTGGAAAGATGGATCCAGGACTCCTTGCCTGGTTCTGTCATCTTTACAGTCACAGACTCAAGCCTTTTATCCTTTCCCAAATTCTTAATGTAGCACATGCCGAATAGCTACGTGGACAAAACATTTCCTTGTGCCAATGCTAGGCAAGGAAGGTACTCAAACTGGAAGAGTCCAATTCTATCTTATTCTATCATGCCACATATGATCAATGCTTTTCAGTCATCTCTTAAGCCCTGTCCCATCAAAGCTTATCATTAATAATATAATATAAACACCTTTACAATCAGGGGAACAGATTCAGCTCCTCTTACGCCCACACCTCATCATTTCAAAGCAATCTCAAACAAACACGTAAATATTTGCCATTCTAACATAACACTTGATAAAATACAACTGACACATTTTATTACCTCGTGCTTTCCTCTCCTCGTCATCTGCACGCTTCAGAATTTGTGCTGCACATAGCACAGGCGGTCTGTTCCTCAGAAGGTTTTTGACACGGGCAGCTAGTGAGTCTCCGCTGCTGCTGTCGTCGCTCTCCTGCATGACTCCTGCTTTGCCTCTGGCTGCGCCAGCTTTGGACAACGTGCTCTGGAAGCCTCCTGTGACACCAGTGACACTGCCTAAAGGCTCTGAGAAAGAAGGATTCCTCAGAAGGTTTTTGACACGGGCAGCTAGCGAGTCTCCGCTGCTACTGTCGTCGCTCTCTTGCATGCCTCCTGCTTTGCTTCTGGCTGCACCAGCTTTGGACAACATGCTCTGGAAGCCTCCTGTGACACCAGTGACACTGCCTAGAGCCTCTGAGGAAGAAGGATTCCCCAGAAGGTTTCTGACATGGGCAGCTAGTGAGTCTCCACTGCTACTGTTATCACTCTCTTGCACGCCTCCTGCTTTGCATTCGGCTACACCAGCTTTAGACAACATGCTCTGGAAGCCTCCTGTGACACCAGCAACACTGCCTAAAGGCTCTGAGGAAGAAGGATTCCCCAGAAGGTTTCTGACATGGGCAGCTAGTGAGTCTCCACTGCTACTGTTATCACTCTCTCGCACACCTCCTACTTTGCGTCCAGCTACGCCAACTTTAGACAACATGCTCTGGAAACCTCCTGCAACATCAGTGACACTGCCTAGAGCCTCTGAGGAAGAAGGATTCCCCAGCCCTGAAGTTCTTCCAGTGCTGACTTCACTACTTCCATTGCTTTGTGAAAGACCCACAAAACCAGGTTGATTTCTGTCTGTAGTTACACTACTACAGCCTTCTGGCTCAGACCTTCCTACAGATTTTCCCGTCCTAAACTCTTTGGTTGTTTCCTTCATCATCTCTTCACTATCACACAAATTGACAGCAAAAGAATTCTCCCATCTTAAATTGCCTGTGTTATAGTTCAGAGGCTTTACTACTGACCCCTCCTCTTGCATGCTTCTTCGGGTCACAGTCTCATCCCATGACAGCATCTTCTGAAACTGAGGGACGTTGTCTTTCACCAACATGGCATCTTTGGGACCACCCTCCTTTCTAACCAGCACTAGAGAAGACTCACCAGTTTCTCTAGGAGAGGCAGTGAAAAAGCTAGGATCACACCACCTCCCAGCTATATCCTCTGCCTCTGCCAAAAGCTTATGTATTTCTTGCAACGCACCAGATCCAGTCAAAGAATCACTTTCTTGACCCTTATTTCTCTTACTATGTGCACTTGAAGTCTGTGATTCTCCATCAACTTTCATTTCATTTTTAACTCCAGTCAAAGAACTGGCAGTCCATCTCTGCAGGCTGCTATTCACATCTTTTGACTCATTTTTAGCAAGCAGATCCTGAACACTTTTTGCAACAAGCATGGGATACTCTCCGTCAGAACGGCAGTCAGGTAAAACTCTCTGCTGCTGCTGGTTTGGTTCAGCTGTTTTGGAGACAGCTGAACACTCTGCCTCCCATTGTGTGGAAAGCGGAGCCTTTATCTCCAGTTGGTGGCATGACATACTGCACTGACTCGCTGGTTTGTCTCCAAAAGATCTTGAGAAGCGGGGAGAGAGTTCACGGGGTGACAGAATGTCAGAGCCAACTTCTGAATTCATTGGTATAGACATACTGAGAGTGGAAGTGCCAGAGTTAAAACTTGTTTGCGTAATTTCAAGCGCTGACAGCAAATCACCTACAAAGAAACAGAAGATTCATTAAGTTTGGGGCTCCAGAAAGCAGTCGCATCAGTAAAGACTACTTTTTCTCATACTAGAAGAAAAAAAGAGGGAAGAACTCAAATACTGAAAACATTTAGGAAACTGTTTTTAGAATGAGATTTGAACTACAACTCTCATGGGAATTGTCTACTGAAAGAAATTCCTTAGATGATTTTGGATAAGTATCAAAGAAACTACAGAACTTGACTTAAATAACTTGCTTTAAAATAAATGCTTAAAGTAGATTTTAAATAAATGTTCTCAGATAAATGACATAATGGCGCTTGTATGTCCAAACGAACACTTGAACTACGAAACTATCCCTGCAAGAAACCAGATGGCTGTGGGGCAGCATTTCCAAAATATCCTTTTGGAAAAAAGCAAAGGACATGCTATGGATAAGCTTGTTTCCCACTGCTGGTTCGAAACGCTCAAAAGCAGACAAGACGCACATTTAGCACTTGGATATATTACACCTAATTGCTTTTAAAAAATTAAAAGAAGTCAAGTCCAAATGCTGGTCTTAAATCCACACTGGCAGGTACACACAACAGCGAAGAGCCAGCTCCCAAGCATGACTGCCAACAGCTATTTCATTTGTTTCAAACACAATTTTGTGTCATGGCCCAACCACCGATGTTTTCAAGTACATGAACTAGTCCAGTTGAATCGTATCTCTACTGAGGACAACTCTGCCCCTGTACCCATCGCCAAGTTGTGTCAGTTGCCAAGTCTCCCACAATGGTTAAAGAAGGGAAAAATAATAAAAGAAAATAAGTAAGCCCTACAGGGATGAGAAGAGATGCATTTAATCACTTCTGGTCAGAAAGACAGGTCAGTGAAGGATTCTTGAAGTCACAGATATTGAAAGGGTTAGACAGGTACTTGTGGAGAGCCTTTAGATGCGCTCTTCCCCTACTGGGAACAAGATGCGAATGTCAAAAGAGAATATGCTAAGGAAACGACACATCTGAAGTAGCTGCAACGCGCATTTTCACATTTTAATGACATACTACATGGGCATGCCACTGAGGAACATCTTCACCTTAACTGGGCACACACTGTTCTTCATATACAAATGACTCAACACTCGTTAAGGTCATATCGATTTATTTTTTCACGTTGAGATGGATGGATTTGTGAACTGATCTGGACAGTTATAAAACGCATATGACTTTTCGTCACACTGAACATACCAAGAAGTCTCAGAAATAAAGAGAAACCAAGACTTATTTCTCGCACAGGAAGAAAAAGTCTGATAACATTTCTTTAGTCTT